ACTCCCATGTAGAATAACAAGGTCTAGATTTTAGGGAAACCCAGAATCCACTACCAACTTTAAGTCCCGAAGCTCGTAAAATCTTACTCCCACACACATAGGCATCCAACCCTGAAATCTGAAAGCTTGAAACCCCAAGCCCTAAACCCCTAAGCTCTAAAAAGCTTGCACCTTCAACCCTAAGCCTTAAACCCTAAGCCCTTAACCCTAAACCCTAAGCCCTAAACCTTAAACTACCTTAAGCCCTAAGCCCCTAAGCCCTAAAACCCCTAAATCCCAGGTCGCCTCTTCCTTTTCGAGGTCGAACTTGATGCACTTGGCTATGACAGCCTCGAGCTCGCCTTTGTTCGCCAAGAAACAAGGGGTTTACAGGTTTCGGGGTTTAGGGACTGAGGGATTCAGGGTTTAGGGGTTTAGGGTCTAGGGGTTTAGTTTGTAGGGGTTTGGGGTTTATGGATTGAGGGATTAGGGATTTAGGATTAAGGAGTTTAGGGGTTAAGGGATGCAGGGGTTCAGGGGTTTAGGAACTTAGGGATTTGGGGTTTAGGGGCCTAGGGTCTAGACCAGGGGGCCAAGGGGCTTGGGGATGTGGGGGGTTTCCCGGAATGAGGGTCTATGTGGGGCTACGGGGCTTGCTCGCTTCTGGCATATGACCCCAATACTGCAGAATCAAATGGAAAGGCAAATGGAACAAGGAATGAAACCGGGTTATGTAGGGGGGGGAAGGAGTTTAGGGATTTGGGGGCGCAGAGGTTTCACGGGTTTAGGGTTGGGGGTCCTCGGGACTTGTCTTTAGTAGATTTTACGCAGCAGGAGTAAAACTGATGATGAATGAGGCTTCTAGATTGGTACGGGGTAGACATATTAGGTCATTTGCAGTATAGATCTCTTCTGAGAGTTGTCCTACAGTCCTACAGCACACTTTAATTTGGCCACGTTGCCCGCACTCATGTAAAACGATGGCGTCGCCTTTCCGCTGTAGAGATTGCGCGACTTCTTGTGGAGTGAAATGCGTGATTGCAATCATGGGGTCTTTTAACGGGTATTTTGCTGGGCATGGAGATGAACAACCCAGAGGTAGACGTTGCAACCTCCACTTCATGCTCAAGCGGGCTCAATCCCAAGTCAAGATCCCAAACATCCTACTTAAACCCCGAAAGTATACAAAATAATAACCCCAAACCCAAAATAATAGGCATAAAGGTCATTATTTTACATACTTTAGAGTCCCAGGTAGAACCAACAACGGAACAAACAACACCTACACTGACGTCATGCTGCCATGCTCTTGAACTCGAAGCTGCAAGGTTCAAAGATACTTTCACAGGTCCCAAACCCCAAACCCCGAGTTCTAAAGCTTTTACGCCTGACAACCCTGAGGTCACGTTACATACCAGTAAACCCAAAAAAGTAAACCGTCAGAAAATGCAGCATGAGGACTGGCTCTACAACATAAGCCCTGAACCCCGACTCCTCTGCCGACTTTACCTACTGGGGGTTAGAAGCCCTAAAGCGCAAACCCTAAATCCTAACCCTAAACCCTACACCCTATGTTATGTAGGGGTTATATGGGGATTATATTCCCTTATTATTCCCTACTAAGAACCAGTAAGTTTTGCAAAGCAAGGGCCAGCCCTAGTCGGGTAGTTGCCAGGTGGATACTCCATGCGGTTTAGGGTTTAGGACCTAGGGTTTAGGATTTAGGGTTTAGGGGGGAGGATTTAGGGTTTAGGATTTAGGGTTGAGGAATTAGGATCTAGAGTTGTGTAATACATAGATTGTGTAAGGGTAATGGGGCTACATGAGCTATAATCTAGACTCTAGCATCCCCCTTAATCAACCCTATGATCGTCCCCCGATATCATCCCCTATATAGTCCACTTTAAGGAGTTTCGACCACCTTTTAGGGTGCCAACCTGATAACTGACAGCTTCCCCAGAACTTTGAGAGGATCCCAGTATGGTACCTTGTACTACTATTGGGTAGTTTCTGGGGAACCTTCAGGGGGATCTACTTTCGAGAGCCGCCCAGGGGTCTGGGTCCAAGTACCCAACAGTTGAATACCGCAAGCTTCAGCACTGCTAATTCTGGTATAGGTGTCGGGGGCGTGCCTGAGTGCTACCTACTTGGACCCTAACAGTAACGAATGCCGTGGCCTAGCTGACAAGAATAACTCTTGGGATATTTTCTAATATAGCTCGTTCAAAAAGAACTGGCCACTAATTCTGACAGCTTTTGATACAAACCCAAACCCTATAGGCTAAACCCTAAAACCCTGCAGTAAGGCTTCGGCTCTTGAGTGAATCTCCAGTGTTGCGCAACTTCTCGAGCTGCTGCTTCATATACTCGATCCTCATGAGCGCCTGGGATGCACAGGGTGTAGGGTTTGGGGTTTAGAGACTATGGGGCATAGGGGCTCAGCAACGTGGCTTAAGGGCTTACTTGGGATTTACGACTCAAAGGTTTATGATTCAGTTTTCTTCATCCTCAATTTCCGATCCACCCATCATCACGCTTGAGAGGTAGAGTCAGACTACCAAGAAGTTGCAAATATGTTCTTATCTATGTGCAGGAATGATTCCACAGGGGTGCTTGAACAATTCCAAGTTGATCCCCTCAGAAACAAGCCAGGATGGTTAACGTGCAGAAGCCTAAGCCGGGCAATATTGAGGTGTATGGCAGTTCCCCAAAATAAGGGACCCCATACAGAACCCCCCCAAAACTCCAATCCTTATTGTGGGGATCCCCAAGGTGCTACCCCCCCCCCCATATACGGGGGCCCACATATCTTGGCAATTCCTTTGATGTATCTGGCTGTAAGGCTGGGACCGTACCTACCCCCATCTAGGGAATGCTGGCAAGCCCACATGCTGGCTGTGTATTCAAACCCCCTGATACTCTACTCCCTTTTCAGAGTCTCTACCTTGATGTCGAATATCTTCCACTTGAAAAAATACATAACCTAGAAAAAGGGTATGGTTATAAGAGCTCCTAGGTTCCCCAGTAACCCATTAATAATCAGGGTACCCTTTTTCCTACTGTTCAGCTTTAATAAGGAGACCCCAAAATACAAAGGGCAAATTCATTACCTCAACAAACTGGCGGCATGTATATCTAGGCAGTAGCCATCCAGGTCGTAAGCAATCCCGCTGTTCTTCGACCTAAGCAATCCCTATAGAAAACCCTGAAATGCTTGCTTACAATCGCTCTCAAGCAGAATGCAGGGAGGGGGCCTTTGCAATGGGCGGTTAGCCTTCTCGCAGCCCAATCAGTCAGGACATACCCTTAAGATCACGCCCTTTTTTCAGAAGCTGTCCCTTACATCTTCAGTGCTTGCCCTCACAACAAACCTAAATGGACGCCCAGATAGATCCTTTCAATAGGAAATGTGGATGCTGGGGCCTCTTTTGAGCTTTCATGTTGTCTTAGGGAGTGCATGTTGTGCTGTGTCCTGCAGTTAGCAACCCTATCAAACTCCAAACCCCGAAATCCTCTTCCCTTCAGGGCGGCGCCTTCTGTGTCTCCTGGTCCAGCGGGCCCTCCTGCGTCCAGGGGTTAGCTGTAGGTGCGCGGAAAACTGCAAGATAAGGGAAAGTGGCATTGGGAATGGTGCAGGGATATCAGCTGAAGGGCTCCTTGTGTGGCTCCATGTTAAGCAGAGAGGGGGTGCATTCCGAAGGCGCGCGCCTTACCCTAAACCATATATAACCCTCAATATGTTATGGTTGTTTCCGATTTCTTTTCCATTATCCCAATATAGCCCCAACATAGCCCTAAAAAAGCCCCAATATAACCCTAAGATAGCCCTAATAATTATTGTGCAAGGCGCGCTCGTTTTCCTCGCTGCTTTGTTTCCAGCGGGTCACATGTCTAAGTCTGGCCACAGCAGGCTGCATCCCAATCAAGGTTTAGGGTTTAGGGCTTTAGGGTTCAAATCATTTAAGGGTGAAAGCGGGCCATGTAGTAGTCATGAAAGTGGGAAAGGGGTCCGTCTTTTTTCTAAACCTCAATAACATGTTTCTTTTTGCATGATTTATAGGTTTTAGGATATAGTGCAACTCACGACGGCCCCTGTCCCAATGTCATGAAGTACGACGGCCAATTTGCAGCGATGCGATCGTTGATCACATTGGCAATATGGCCTCAGCCTTTTTCTTCTCAAACTTGATGCCCATCGTGCCTGAATCAATGTTGGGACACTTGAAGGTTCAAAGCTAGTCAGCAGTGGGTTGGAAGTACTTTGGATTTGAACCGAGTTTCGGCTACTTGCAAACGTGCTCACAACTACGCGTGAGGTTTCCAGCATCAAGAAAGAGGTGTCCCTGGTAATTAGGCATGCTCGGACAAGCTGAGCTCCTTGCTGTGCAGTGCTTACTCCTCCTAGTGCCTACTATAACAAGACACTTACAAAGGCTTTTCTGAACAAAAGCCCAGCTGCCGGACGCAACGGTGGCAGCCAAAATTCCGAAAATCATGAGCAGGGACACAGACTGAGATAGAGGCCAGTAGTCTCCCAGCATCATCTTAGTTCCCACAAACCTTGGCTTTTCATTTTGGACCTTCCAAGCCTCTGTTTCTCGAAGCTCCTCTTTCCTTTCTTGTAAACTTTATGGCTCCTCATGGATCCCTGAACCTCTTTGTAGAAAGCCTTCAAGCAAGTTTTCAAAATCCTGGGACTGCATCTTGAACTTTTCGAACCCGCTCAGAAATGAACGCACACGATGACTGCGTGGCAAGCCCAGCCACTGGTGCTTAGCAGCAAGCGCAAGCATGACCCACATACCACTATTATGTTAAGTGTATAAACCCTAAACCCTAAGCACGAACCCTAAACCCTAGACCCTAAACCCTAAACTCTGACAAATTCAAGCAGCGCTAGCACGGCAGCCAAGCCGGTCTTGAGGTTCTGAACTTTATCCAGGGCCTGCTTGGAGATTAGGGTTCAAGGTTTTGAGGGTTGAGGGTTTAGAGTGTAGGGTTTAGAGATTGGGGTTTTGGGTTCAGGGTTTCGGGTTTAGGGCATGGGTACTTGTAACTTACTGGGGATTAGCAGGGAACAAATGAATATAATCCCTCTATTTCCCTCATTCCCTACTAAACCCCAGTAAGGTAATCTACTTTATAGTACTTCGACTTATATCGTAAAACCAGTAAACATACCAGGGGGGCCTAGGCCTAAGCAGCACATGCAGAATGGCGTCGGAAGAGCCCAAAAACTCTAAGTGCCCACTGGAAGTTCGGAGGCATCATCTTACTCGTGGTTAGCTGGGAGGGAAACAATGTGTTATAGGGATTGTTGTTGTTGTTGTTGTTGATGTTGATTCTCCGGGGGCTGCTACATTGGATCCAGTAGCGACCTTAGTTTGTTTAGTGGCAGGATTCGCAAATCCAAGCATTCCCTTGCTGGCTCTTAGTGGGGAATATGGGAATATATTATATAGGGGTTATGTAGGGATTATATTCCCCCATCTCCTGCTACAGCCAGCAAATGTCTGAAGCTTCAATTGCTGCTCCCCAAGCCCCAAGCCTCAGCCAAGAGCAAATATAGCGAGCGAAGCCCAAGCACAGCGAACATGTTCGAGCTGAAGACGAGAAAGAGGTCGTGGGTGATCCCCAGAATGCAGGGAATGGAGTCTACCTTGCTTTAGGGTTTAGGGGTTAGGGTTTAGGGCTTTAAGGTTAAGGGTGTTACAGGACCAAAATAGAATATGCTGATGCTCGAAAGGAGTTTACAACCATGCCTTCACCCATCTCTCATAGAAGCGTGTTGCAAGAATAATGAGAGTTTTCTTTATCTTGGCATGTGGGCCCCCGGGCCGCTGGGGCATCTCGCAGTGTTGCCAACATTGTGGTCACTTGACGTGTCCCTGTGCTGAGGGTCCAGTTTTGGTGGTATACTGGGAACCTGGGAACCTAAGTAACTGTCGATAGCCCGAAAGCGTGTGGCTGCTCTTTCAGAGGCAGAGCGCATGACATCATGCATGGCTGATTCAGCTTATAGGCTCAAGCTAACAGAAGCGACAGTAGGGCAGCTGCCAACGCAAATCCCAAGGAATTAATTAGAAGCAAAAAACAACCTTACAAAAGGAAAACAACTAACAAGTGCGAGAAGCTAGCAAGTCGAACTGCTTTTGGGACGCTAGGGCTGCTAATGCGTTGGGTAACCCACCTGTGACAGCATACAATATTGTTATAGTGACGCATTAAGGGGAAATAGCATCTTGTCCAGTTCCAGAGCCCCCTAAAGTGTACTTTCGAGGCGCTGCAAAGATCAGATCGCTAAGTTCGACCACGACCAGAGCAGCCAGCATCGGTGTTGCATATGTTTTGCCGTCCATGTGCTCGAAGAACTGATGCCCCTAGGATGTAAGTAGTAGTAGTAGTAGTAGTAATAGTAGTAGTAGTAGTAGTAGCAGTAGTAGTAGCAGTAGTAGTAGTAGTAGCAGCAGCAGCAGCAACATTGGTGGAAATAGAAGAAGCAGAACAAGAATATTCAGAGTTAATAGTTGGCAAACATGCACGAGATCTGATTGTGCAGGCAAGGTCCTTGGCATCAGCATGGTAAGGGACCACTGAAGTCAAGATCTGCATCATCCAGGACTGACCCTTGGCATGATCGTCCATACCGTTGTCTCCATCCTCCTCCTCACTATACCTGCAAGAAAAGACTTTCTTCGCCGGTTGTAGAAACCAACTTTAATCAGAAACCTCAACATCTTGTTCTTCGTGTGGCTAATAGTGGAAACTTGCTACCAACCTACTGCCCTGCAAGGTAAGCTCTCGACTTCACAACATGCAGGCTCACGTTACAGTAGAACAGTCGTCGCGATCTTGAGCCTCACCCCTACTAAACGAGGGCAGGTAAAACAAGCCGCAAAGGGCTCCTCTAAAGTAAATGGCATGCAAGCAACCCGTGGAAGAACAGTGGCTTAGGCACCCTTGCCTTACACCCACCGAACCCAAAGCCTTGAATTCCCCTCCTTTTGAGCTCACACTGAATTGCTGAAACATACCCGAAATTTGGACCTATGAGCCCTTGACCCCGCAACAGCACGCCCTAGTCCCGTGACACAGAATTCCTGTACCTCCGTGTGGAAATTTCCAGGAAGGGGAAAGCACTCTATAGACCCCAAAATGCCATGTTCCTTATTTTAAGATCCTCCAAAAAGGGACCCTAAACCCTAAACCCCTTCCCTAGATCCCCAAACCCCTTCTGAAAAACCTAAACCTCTTCTTCAAGTCCTTAAAACTCGGTTCCCCAGCAAACCATAAATAATAAGGGTGCCCTTTTGCCTACTGTTCTGTTTTAATAAGGAGACCCCCAAACAAAAAGGGCAAAAGGGTACTACTGGGGTACCTTCAAAGGGGGGGGTGGCCAAGGATCATCTTCCAGGCTGACCAAAGCAGGAGGCCGCCGAAGACATAAATCATGCTATGCCTTATCAAAGGGGTGTTTTGGATGGTTTTGGTAACCCCAACCCCCAAAAAATTTGGAGCCCTATAACCATCATATAGGGTTTAGGGTTTAGGGGGGGGTGAAAGCCAAACCCCCCAAATTTAGCACCCTATAACCATCATATGATAATCATAAGGGTCCTTATTGTTTGGGGGGTTGGGGTTACCACAGCCCTTTTATACGCCTTGGATCATCCCGTAGGGGTTGGGGGTTCAGGGTTTTAGTGCGAAAAATTAAGGTGTTAGGGTGCAGGGCTTACGGCTTAAGGTTTGGGGTTGGGGTTTTAGCTCGCTCTATGCGGTTGAAAGGGAAGGCTTGGGCTTAAAGGGTAAAAGCCTCTAGCATTTGTTGTGGCAACTGCCACTGTAATGGGGCAAGCCCCAGGCTATGACTGGGGTTATCTGAAGCCATGATACAGAGACGCTCACTGGACAAACATGCGGTACTGCCTGCTTATGAGCTGATGACCATCAAAGGCTATGACAGATCCGCGATTGTTTTTCGCGACAGGTAAACATGAGTGATAATTCTGTTTAGCCTCTTGAGCTCAGCTCCTGTGGTTTGCGGCTTTCGTCTACATCCAAATCATGTTAGGCAAACGGGGAGGAGTCGACCTTGTGGCATTTGTGTGAGGCAAGTTCGGGCAGGATTGTAGCTGCTGGCGGTCGTGCGAGGCAAGGTAGGGCAGGAGCATAGAAGTTGGCTCAGGTCCTTTGAGTTTGAAGGTTAAGAGCTTCAGCGTCTGTAGCGTCCGCTTTCTCGTCATGCGTGGGGCGAAGTCTATGAAGTTCTAAAGGATCGTTGCGTTGCTCAGTGATTGTTGGGCTGTCTGGCTGGATTCACAGCATGAATCTATTCAGGCTCTGGCTTCTGCTCGTGGAGCAAATGGGCTTCCCATGTATTGTTGGCTTCCCATAAGCTTTTGGTCTGAAGAAAGGCGAACAAACCCATGACTACGACCACGACGTTGTGACTAGGCGTCTCCGAATCTGCTGAATCTGCTGCACACCCAAGGAAGTACAAGACTAAAACTTCCAAGCCTAAAATGCATATGAAGACGCCGGAAGGCATCAACAGGCAAAAGTTGGGTCTCTTTGCAAGCATGGGCTCATGTGCTCCAGAAGCCAAACGCCGGCAAAGACAAAGATGAGGCGGAACACCTGGGTTGCTGTAGGGTTTAGGGCTTAGGGCATAGAAAATCTTAGGGGTACCAATAACGGAGAATCATATTGAAAATGAAAATGGAAACTTGCGTTACTCAGGGGTTAGAATAAGTCGCTATTAAGGAACTTAAAAGAAGCACATGTGATGGGTATGTCGTAAATGGTAGGTTTCCTTAGTATAGTAAATCTAAACACCAAGCCCTAAACCCTATATTCCCTAATTATCGTAACTTAATCTAATTTCCTTCACAGCAGCCCATTGTAATCCCTGTGTAACTCTAGTTGCCATTTTCTTTGCAATCTGATTCTCATTATTTGCAACAATAACCCTACCCTAAACCCTACACCCTATACTACGTACCATTATTCTAGTACCTGAATATTAGATTCCTTAACAGCAAACCAGACACAATACCCCCGAGGATGCCCTCAACCCTAAACCCGAAATTATATACCCTTATTGTAAAACCTTCGACCCTAAACCCCTAAACCCTACACCCCTGAATCCTAAACCCCTAAACTTTCAATTCCTTAACAGCAACCCAGACACAATAGCCCCGAGGATGCCCCACTTCAGCACCGGGCCCTGCCGTTGGAAGCAATCCGATCCCCGCCCCTACCCTACCCAAAGGATCTATGTAGGTATATAATATACCGTATATAGTATAGGGTTTAGGATTTAGGATTTAAGGCATTTAGGGCTTAGGGTTTAGGGGAAGGATATAATATACACTTGAGGCCCAAAGGTGTTCTCATATAACTACTTCAGGGCCCAAGTATCTACTTCATATAGCTACATGGGCCTCTTGGGCTAGGGTAGGTTTGGGGGGCTCGATAAACATCAAATCCACGTGGGTTCATAGGGACGATATAGAGCTCGAGGGTAAATACGCTTGAAAGTTGTTTTCAAACATACCCCAACAGAATGAACAGCATTGGGTCCGAAAAGAAGTCCTTGGCAGATCACAGTTGCCTTGGAAACAGAAGCCTGATGCCTCTTCAAGCTCTTGTTCTTCGGGGTTCGAGGGCTACACAGAGAGCCTAGTTTGAGAACTTGACTGTCCACCAAACTCCTTGGGAGTTGTAGTCTAAATGCGTAGCATCCCCTTAATAACACCTATAGTAGTACCCTACATAATCGCCTATATAACACCCCCTTTAAGGAGTTTAGTCTGTAGCTCACGTGACTCTAGCTGGAATGACGTGTGTGGTATCTGTGCCAAGACAGACTGCAAAGAGGTGCATGCAGGTGCGATGATCCTGTCGATGTAGGGATGTCGAGTGAGAAGGTCGGCATGTACTTACCAGGACCCCCACAGAAGATGAAGTAATGGCCAAAATACCTGAAAATTGTCTCAAGGGCAATTTTCCACATACTTTGTGGGTCTATCGAGGTTTCTACAAATCTGGCGGCTAACAGTGGCCAAAACCTCGTTTCGTTCACGTTGCGCAGGTCCAGAACTGAACCATGGTCCGGATATCCTGCTACAATGTAGTAGTCTCCATTTTCTTTTCCATTATTCCCTATAGTTCTATTCCAGTATTCCCTACTAAGAGCCAGTACTTTCTTGCGTTGTGGACAGCACCCACTCCCTCAGCTTGGAACGCTGTACCTGGCCGTTGGCTAGCTGGGAATGAAGGAATGGAAAAGAAAATGGAAACTACTCCAACGGGTTATCGAACGGGTTATATGTGCCATTGTCTAAACTCC